CCCTGGTTAGAACATAGGAAGTGCCCTATTCTGGAGCTACTCCGGAGGCTAAGGTAGGAGGATCACATGAGCTGGGGAGGTCGAAGCTGTAGGGAACCATAATTGTGCCACTGCATTCCAACCTGGGCAACAGACTGAGATCCTGCCCCCAAATAATAACAATAATAAAGAAAATACAGATTTCTAGTAGCTTTGTATTACCTCCAGATTCTTGCAGAGCAATGCAACATCAAGGCAGAAGATCACTTAGTGTGTTTTAGGCCATCACTGTTGAGGGATTTCATTAAGTACCCAACTGTGCTTACATCCCACTGTCCTAAGGTATCACACGGAGAACCGTCATTGCCTTTGCTCCAGGAGATTGAAGTGTCAGTCAGACAACTTGAAGCTGACAGATATTAGAAGGACCTCACAGATCACAGAATCAATATTGAACTAGGACAGAAATAACTACTATACAAAAAGCTCAAAGTGTATCCATTCATTCTCACTTTAATATGCATGTCTTCTCTTACTATTGGGCCTGGGCTGCTGCTATAAGGTACTTTGAATATTAGTTTAATTGTTGCTTCCTGATAATTAAAAAAGGAAAAAGTTTGGTGTCCTAATGTTTGTCATTTTTAAAAAAACATTTTTTGAGGTTCTATTGTGTGTCATTTTCTATGTGCATGGTGCTAGCCATTATGACATTAGAGTTTAATGTAAATTAAAATTTTTGCCACTTTCCAGGCAATACAAATACTTTAGAATGTTTTAATTCCATTTCCCCGCCAGTGTTTTGTGTTATTTTCATCATATGTTTATACTCTAAAAATACTTAAAATCCTCTAAGACATTAAAAGTACTACTTTTGCAGTCCATATTTATTTAGAATTCCGTGCTTGCCTTTTTTTGTTGCTACTCATTCCTTTCTGTATTTCCTTTTTTCTAAAAAATCTGTTGCTAGTCATTTTCCTTCAGCTTGAAGAAGTTCAAGACTGAAGGTGACAGATTTTCCCAACTTTTTGATCTAAAAATATCTTTAATTTGTCTCCCTTTTTGAAGGATTTTTTAAAACTGCTTATTGAAGTATGGATTGGCAGTTAGTATCTTTCTGTACTTTAAAGACATGATTCTGTTACTTTATTGCTTCCATCATTTCTGTTGAGAAATCATCTGTCTGTACAGCTATTGTTCCCTTTCAAGGTAATATATCTTTTTCTTCTGGCTGCTTTTTTGATTTTGTCTTTGTATTTTGCTTCTAGCCATTTAATTATTGGCATTGATAGGTATCATTTTCTTTGTATTTATTCTTTCTGGGGTCGGGGTCCACAGAGCTTCTTGGATCTTCGGCTTGACCTTTCATCAGGTTTAGAAAACGCTTAGCCTCTATGTCTCCAGTGCGGCTTCTGTTCCATTCTGTCTTCTCCCTCTGCAGAGAGACTCCAGTTATACACAGAGTTTTTCACCATGGAGTGCTTCCTGTGTTTCCTCAGCTGCTTTTATATTTTTCCATCCTTTGTCTTGGGAACCAGTGAGCTTCGTGGTCAACAATCCTCTGTTCAACTGTACCCAGCTTGCTCTTATCCCCACATGTTGAGTTCTTAAATTTTAGTTATTCTGCGTTTGCTTTCAGAATTTCCAAGTGACTATTTTTACTAGATTCTAGTTCTCTGTTAAAATTCTCGTTGTCTACATTATTGAACATATTCATCCAGTTTTTAAAGTCTTTACCTACTCACTATCCGCATAACTTGTTTTTCTCTTGTTCTTGTCTCCTGATGTGCCCAGTACTTTTTGTTGAATTTTAGACATCAGATATAAAAACTTGCTGAGTTTCTGGAAGATGTTTTCTCCCTCTAGGAAGGATTTACTCCTGCCTTTGGTAGGCAGATGGACAAGGGCCAGATCACTTTAAGTCAGTTGGGGATTGACATGATTTGGTCCTGAGTTTCAGTCTTTGTAAAAGCCCTCTCTGCCCTCTTCCTGCTTTACCCATATTTTAGGGTGTAGCCCTTCAAGGGTCCCAGTTAAAAGCCTGGGGTGTTTGTTTACTGGGCCCTTTGTTTTTGGCAGGCTCTGAACTCCAGTTTTTGTCCTCCCAGCACTATGAAACAGCCAAAAGCTCTGCTCAGCCTCCTATCTGTCTCTCTCTTCTTGACACCTCCTTGTTTCACCCTGCACTGAATCGGGCTGATGGCCTCCAGAAGAAAAATAGTGCCAATGCTTAGGGTCACATGTGCGTTTTCTGCAGAATCTCAGCCCCTCAAGTGCTTTGGTAGCCCTCATGTGCCTTTAACAGATTTAAAATAAAATTCCTTCTTTTTTTTTTTTTTTTTTTAGTTGTTCTTAGCAGGAACAATCAGCGTTGTTCTGTTACAAGTTAATCAGCCATCACCAAAAGTCAGGAATTTAAGTTTTAAGAATTATTTTCGGCCGATCTCGGTGGCTCACGCCTGTAATCCTAGTACTTTGGGAGGCCAAGGCAGGTAGATCGCCTGAGCTCAGGAGTTCGAGACCAGCCTGGGCAGCATGATGAAACCCCATCTCTAATAAAATACCAAAAAATTAGCTGGGCATGGTGACGTAAGCCTGTAATCCAAGTTACTTAGGAGGCTGAGGCAGGAGAATTGCTTGAGCCCAGGAAGTGGAGGTTGCAGTGAGCTGAGATCACGCCATTGCACTTTGGCCTGGGCGACAGAGCAAGACTCCATCTCAAAAAAAAAAAAAAAAAAAAGAAATTATTCAACAAATCATGGCAGCTATATAGAATGTCCCCACAGAAATGTCTCTGATCTTTTGATACTAGAGTCCTTCTTCCTCTCTAATTCCATAATTGTTATCTAATACAATTTTCCTGATTATGAGATGGTTGAGTCTGATGCAATATGGAAGAATACACTGGGACCGATCTGTGGCTAGAACGTGGGAAGTACCGTATTCTCATCAGCCACACATCTGTGACTCATCTCAAAGTTAATTGCTCCCAGTGTCTTTTATCTTTTCTTAGATAACACTACATTATATTATCACCATTTTTTTTTTTGTCTATCTCCTTTGCTAGACTGGAAGCTGGAACCCTGCTTTACTTACCTTTATATTTGCAGTGGCTACCACGATGCCTGACCTGTGGAAGACATTTTGTGGATGCTTTCTGAATAAAGGGTTCTTTCAGATAAGGCTATTTATATAGATGGATAATCATTAAAGTATCAGTGGTAGTAGTTTGAATTCACAAAGGCTTTTCTCCCCTCTGACCTGGCCCCGCATTTCACCCTGTTTCGAGCATATAGATTCCATACACTGAATGCATTCAGGGGAGCTTGGGGGTTCCCCAAGTATTGGGAGATTAACAACAAAATACAGGAAAGGAAGACACTGATCAGATGGACATTTTTAAGTGGCTTTCAAATTAATGCTCACCTTTGCCAGCATCCAGAAAAAACTTTATAAGTTCAGAGTTGAATAAAATGGACAAGAGAACACGTCGGGAATGCCATACTCTTCTGCAGTCATGACGTGTCTAGACTGTGCTCTGATTGTGGCCCCAGTTAAATTCCTTCTGCACCAGGGCTTTCTTCACTATTTGTTGACTGAAGACATGTGTGGAAACACGTAAGTTATATTTAAATCAGGCATTTTTTTTTGTTATAGAATTAAACATTAAAATTAGAGTCATATTAGATAATACCATACTCAAATTATTCTGCACAGATGAATACTTGTCATCCTTTGCTTACCAGGTGACAGGTCTCTGAGTTTAATTATTTGTATAGTGAGTATATTTCTCTGTTTGAAATTAAAGTTGGAGTTAATTAAAGATTTGGTTTACTGGCAGATATCTTATTCTCTTTCAGGTTCATATCTGTCTTCATGCTTAAGATTTGGTTTTTCCAATAACTTGAACCAGCATAACTGCTACTAACAGTTGATTAGACTTCTGCTGATTTTTCTTTGCCCCAGAAACGTATCAGCCTATGTTTAAAGGATGGAAATCCAAATAATTCTTATCTTTATTGGCTAACATTACCTAGCTCCAGGACACTACTGGTCGGTCCTGTGTAGTCCAAATCAAAGCCCAGTGCAATGTCATCTCCAGACTTTTCTTACTCCCAATTTTAGTCGGGGAGGGAAATATCTTTGAGCCTCTAGCTTCTAGTAATGGTGTGGAATAGCTTGATCATCAATAATAATGGTAAAATCTGGATAATTTGAAAATATTGGAGAATAAGCAGAAGCAGGCAGAAGAGAATAAGAGTCTACCCTTGAAATAAAATGTGTGTGATTTATGAGTTTATGGAGTTTTGCCTGAACGCATTATCCAATAGTGGGGCAAGGATGCAAGCAGAAGCTATCAGAGGACTGACTTTGATGCCAACAGAGCAACCAGAAAATCAAAAAGATAATCCAGTTTAAAAAATTACTACATATGTGAAGAAACAGGAAAATGTGATCATTACTTAAGGGAAAAAGAAATCAATAGAAACAGACTCTGAGATGATCCAGATGTCACAATTAGCAGATAATGACTTTAAGCAGCCATTATAAATATGTTTAAGGACTTAAAGGAAGGTATACACAAAGCAGTGTGTTTTTGGTTAACCTTCATAAGGTCATTTCTTTCATGTGGCCATATGTTTCTTAGCTTTCTCTTCTCATCTTTTATTCCCTCATTCTTTCCAGTAGCTAATGGCCTTTTCCTTCTGGGTGCTACTTTGGGAGCCAGTTAGTAATGAAGTAGATGACTTTTGACAGTGGACTAAGACAAAGGAAGTCTATAGGACATCATATAAGGGTTCGTTCTTAAGTAGTTTGCCTTTTGATGTATTCTCCTGTTGTATGGCACTTCCATTATAATTTTCAAATTCTTGATATTTCAGATCATAGTGAATCATTTAGTTGCTTTTAAGCATCAGCCTTTCTTAAGAGTCTGTGAATACAGAATACCAAATGATATTTCAAAATAGGCTTATTTTAGTTATTGATTCCTCTAGATACAATTCTGTTTCTTTACTCTGCAGGTGTTTCACCAAAACCAACAGCACTTTCAGCAACAGCCCTCTTCCTGTGGTCCCTGTGGTAGCACCTTATCCTCAGGGTGGCTTGGAAATGAAGCCCCTCAGTCACATGAAGATGCCTGTATGCCTGGCCTCCACAGTCCCTGATTGTGTCCAGTTGCCTGAGGAGGGCGTCAAGGACAACGTAGAACCAGTCCCTACTCAGCATACTTGCTGTCAGGACAATGTAAATGACGTCAGCTCTGATCGCGCAGAAGATCCAGCAGAGTTCAGCAGAGGTCAGGGAGGCATGATCAGCCTTAGGTTTCCAGATTGTCTTCAGTTAGCTAAGAGCTATGTATGGGAAGGTGATGCTTTCAAAGTTTCCCCTCTATGATTAGTTTACATATTCCTTGGGAGACTGGGTGGGATGCTGGGTACTTTAAGAAAAGATAAGACTCAAAGGATTCTTTGAAATTCTGGTATTACTCATGTTCTTCATCTCAGGCTGTCAATCCCATCACAATTTGGAAAATATATTTGGAAATAGGCTTTGATTTCATTTGTAGGGTGACAGAAGACTTGCTGGAACAATGCATTTTGTGAACATGAGCCCCTTTTTCATTTGAGTTGGTTCTGGAGTTGTAACCTTTCTTTCAGGTGGTTATTTTAGGGCCTTTAAGGGTTGTTTTAATCCTCAGATGAATTGTATAGCTATTCATGAGAGCTCAACTTTATTTTAAACCTTCTATCTCCCTCAAATTCAAACCAAACACAACCAGATTCTACTTATGCTCATTTTTCTTTCTTCATTGCTCAAGTTTTTAGACTGCTTTGTAAAAATCAGCCTTTATCATTTCATAATGCTCCCAAACCTTCCTGTGTTTCAGGAGACAGCTGTGCCCATTCAGAAACAGAGAACAACATTGTAAGTTGGAACCGTCTTATTTTGCCACCTGTCTCAGAGGACTGTGCTGAAAAGACAACATGGTCTCCGCCTGGCATTCCTTTAGACAGCCCGACGGAGGTCCTTCAGCAGCCCCAGGAAACCTGAGGATGTGCAAACAACCAGCCATGTTCCGACTTCAAGCCAGTAACTGCGCAAAACAGGCCTGGGAGGGAACTGAGTGAAGGACCTTAATTCAAATCAGAGAAAATCATTATTTATTTTTTTGTAGTAGTAATGTCATATGAATGTATCTTAAAATGTGTGCCCTTTTATATTATTTATGCCTAAATGTTTTCTTCCCTATTCCTTCCTCTCCCTCAGTAGGAAACAACCTTGTTTTGCATAGTATTCAGTCACCTGGAGGGCAGAGGGGTCCTTCCCTGTTTTATAACTGCTATAGTGCAGCAAGAGCTCCTCATGCAAAAGATCCCATCTCTTGGCTGCTTCAGCTAGGAGGGAATGCAGGGGCCAATTGGAGGTTGCCACCAGCCAGGTTTTCAGGTGGAAAATGATCTTTCAATAGTGTACTCTCAGACCTTTTTTTTTTTTTTTTTTTGAGATAGACTCTTGCTCTTGCTCTGTCACCCATGCTAGAGTGCAGTGGCGCAATCTTGGCTCACTGCAACCTCCACCTCCCGGTTCAAGCAATTCTCCTGCCTCAGCCTCCCAAGTAGCTGGGATTACAGGCACCAGTCACCACACCCAGCTAATTTTTTTGTATTTTTAGTAGAGACGGGGTTTTACCTTGTTGGCCAGGCTGGTTTTGAATTCCTGACCTCAAGTGATCTGCCCCCCTCAGACTCCCAAAGTGTTAGGATTACAGGCGTGAGCCACCTGCCCGGCCTGTATTCTCAGACTTTCTGAGAACACTTTGAAATCAACCGTAGCTGTGACCCATGTTTATAATAGCAGACCTGGCTGACGAATTTTAGAAGAGTGCCTTCCACAAAAGTGGTAATGTGACCTGTTGACTTTCTCTCTATCTGCATGTGGGCACAAGTGATGTTTAGTTTGCTTGGCACTAGTCATAGCAGTGCTGTGGACACGGTGAACTGTAAGATCTCATCGAATTATGGCAGTATGCAGAAAAGGAACCAAGGCCAGAGAGACAAATAATGCCTAATGTCCCACTGCTTTAAAATTATATTAATTTATAAAATGGCGAGGATGGAGCTCTTTCTGTCTGTTTCTAAGAGTAGGAACAAAATAAGACATTAAGTGGTGGCTTGAAGAGAAAGACACATTTTCAGAAGAAATAAAGGGGAGGGCTGCAGGGAGCCTGCCTTGGTGGGAGCTCTCCAGTCTGTTGGATTAGCATAGGAGCATGCTCATGGTGCCACGATGCTGAAACTAGTCATCCCCCACTTCCAACACGGGCAGCAGCCTGCAGGTATGAGTGTTGGAAAAGACTTACTCTGGAAGAAAAAAGTATTTTTCTGAAATTTCCTGATGTCTCTTTCGGAATGTCACCCTTGTAAACAGGCACCTAAAGCGCTGGTCAGCAGAGCTCCTGACCACGGCTGCCTCTGCATGACAAGGACATTTGCAGCTGCCTTTGGAAGGCTCTTCACATTAAAAAGCAATAATTATATAAGCGTGTTTCATAGCTTGAGTCAAGCTTTCAAGGACCACTGCTCCCTTTTGCATTATGCATCCCTTTGGGGAAAGAAACAGAAAATTATTCTGTTTATATAGAGTCAAGCAATTCCAGCAGAAGTGAAGAAATGTTACAGTTTCCCAGAAATTGCAGTGGAATAGAATATAATCCTATGTTAACCAACTTTCTATATAAATACATCAGTATTCCCTTACATATGTCTGTATATTTTACGATAGAAACTGTTGGTGAAAATGTGCTTGCTTAAGCTGGGTCACTATGCAAGAGTTACTTCCAGTAGAATGTAGTGAATATAATTCCACAGTCGGATATCAGCGATGCTGTAGACCCAAGTTCTGCATTCCAGATGTCCGTGCCTGTAGTATACTGGATTTATTCTTCATGTTACTTGGATCCAATTAGCTCTGGAGGGGGATAGCTGCATCCCTTATTTCTGTGACTAGCAAGGACAAAGTCCTGACACACAGAATATGAAAACATACCCTGTGTTAGCCAATCAAGTTACAGCAATGCTGTCAGAAAGGGAGTTTTAGAAGACTGGGGAGTAAATGTCCATAGACATTGTGATTCAGGAAACAGGTGTATTAGCATGAGCCTTAGGTCATGAACTGCTTTTAAAGATGGAGTTTGAATGTGGGATCTGTCCATGAGGAAGAGAAAATGGCTTTACCTTTAGGACAGTCTCATTGTGGACTGCTTTATTTATATTGTTAGTAACGCTGTTTTAAGTGTTCTTTTTATTATATTTTATTTATAAAAAATGCCTTTATATATTGAAATATATATATATACACACACACATACACATATATATATATATACATATATATATATGTGTATAATTGCCTTTATGTTTAGGAGGTATGAGTTCTCCCTAAGCGTGAGTTGGCTCTGAACTTTTATGCCCTGCACAGGCACCCAAACAGTCCTACCTAATGTCACTTCGCCAGGAAATGAGAGGACATGGTACAGTGTGGGAGACGGCACTAACACGTGTTGAATAACTACTGTGTACCAGGCACTGTGCTCGGTGCCTGTTACTGTTAACTCATTTAATCCTCACAATTAATCTACAAAGTTGGTATTAAAATCCCCAAGTCACACGGTGAGCCATGGGGCCTGAATCTGAACCCAGTTTATCTGGAGCCATAATCTGGGCTCCTCCCATTTTTCCATACTGCTTTCCAAAAGCATTGCAGTTCACTCCTTGGATGGAGCCAGTCCCATTCCATATGCTGTGATCTGGCGTGCCATGGAATTCCTCCAAGGCTGCAACTCTGCAGCCAGAGAGGCTTCCCTCTGGCCTCCACGGGCAGAGCTCTGCTTATGACTTCGTCTTCCAGGAGTCCACATTTCTCCCCTTGATGCCCCATGTCTGTCATCCCCACCTGGAAATTTGATCTTGACTGCACTCAGTGATCATGCATGAAATTGGTCAAGCCTCTTTATGTTCCTTCTCATCCAGAATTCTGTGATTGTTTTAGCACTAAACTGCCCCACGCCCACTGTATTGTTTCACTGTCTCCTTTTAATGCTTTTCTTTCAGGTATGCACTGACAGTCTGGTGACAGGTGCTGCCAGGGTGCAAGTTAAATTGCAATGTTCTAAACCTTTTGAAGTGTTCTTAGCAAAAGCCTTTCTTTGTGGGTTTTGTTTTTGTCCAATGAGTCTATGACGACCAGTGCATCCATCTTTGGCTGATCATGCCACAGATCTCATTCCAGCCACAGTACTGCCAAGAAGTTAAGCTTATAATGGAATTTCACCTGTGTCGCTCTCTTTTAAAGTAATGACTTTGAGATGCATGCTTTGTATCATATTGAAAAGTAAGTTTTATTTTCCTTAAAATTGTAATATTATGTGTGAAACTGTACATATTTTAAATGATGTAGCTTTGGCAGGTTTTATTTGGTTGATATGATTTTATATTAAAAGACAACGCTGCTTTCATATAGCCTAGCCCCTGAAGGTGGGGATACTCCCTGTTTGTACAACGCTGCTTATAGTTTGTGATTGGGGTGGGCGAATGTCTTCCTCTGACATTCTTTGGAACCTCCACCCCTGTCCTTCATGGAAAATCCCCTGTGCACACCCCTTCTGTTATGACTGCAGAGATTGAGGCCCTGAAGGAGCAGGATCTTGGGCAAGTGTTTTATGGGAGGTTGAGAGCATACCTGAGCCTGGGGGGCTGTGTGGAGACAGGCCATCCCCTCGGGGCAACTTTGCATTTCTTTGGAAGGAAGGGAAGTGGGTAGGAGAGGAGCTTGGGAGGATGAGGAGGAGTGCTCCCTTCTCACACGCTATTTTTACCATTAACCTAGGGCTACCTTTTTATGAACTCCAGGGTAGAAATTTAGCCTCCTTTTCAAAAAGTTTTGTTTTACTGTGCTAAGGAAATACACATCTCTAGGCTTCTGTGAACAAAAAGCCAACAAAGTCCTCTGCATGGGGTATGGCCTTTTTGTATTATATTTCCCATATTTAAGTAGCCTTCCTTCAACCCTAGCCCCAGTCCTGAGAGCTTTGAGGGTTGCCGAAACCCCTTATCTAATAAAGTCTAACTCTGTGAGAACCGCAGAATCTTATTAAGTTTCTCAATTTTCTGTCTCCTTTGAGGCGCCACTTTCCTTGTGCCGGCGGGCCACCCGTTGACTTTCTTGGAGTTTCTTCTCATCTGTGTCTCCTGCAGAGGCGGCTTGGAGTCCCAAGTCTTCAGTTCAACAAGCATTCATTTGTGTTTCCACCCAGATTTCAGACACACACACAGACACACACACACACACACACTTGAAGCTAGTGAGTCATGCTGGCAGCTGACAGTGTGACTCTGGAATAGCCCTGGGGCTCTGTGGGCCAGCTCCCCCAGCGTGGGGGCGGGAAGCCGCATCTGCAGTTCCTCCTCTCCAGTCTTGTGGGCTGGGACTTCTGGAGTCAGACCACTGCAGCATCAGTGATGTTTCTAAGCTATGGTTGAGCAAATGAACACGCACCTACACACCTTGCTTCTTCCCACTAGCCAGACCTGGGACCCAGCAATCGGCTGCTCTCTGTGGGAGTTGCAATGGAAAGCCCTCTATTAGTGTGGCATCAGCTATGATTTATTTAGGAATTGCTCCATCCACAGACTTTTTTCTGGAAGCAGCTGGTTTGCTCATATTTCTCTAGCACCAGAAACGGTCCCCAGTACCATGGCTTTCACTTGCCCTCAGACACCCAGTGATCCTTCTCTCCCAGCTGTGGGTCCTCCTCCTCGTCCTGCCACCTCTGTCTTCCACGGGTTGGGCCAGGGCTTCTCTTGTAACCGTGTCACTTAGGGGCACTGCAGCTGGGCCCTGCACTGGTCGTAAGACTGGGTATTAAGTAAAGTGGTAGTTGGTGTCTTAGCTACCTTGGTTTCACAACAAAGTCTGACAGAAGGGCTCTTCCCAAATCCCACCTGGCCTCCCTAAGCCTCCTTGCCTCTTCCTCTTTGGGCCTCATGGCGTTGCAGTCACGGTGATGGTGACATTCACTGGCGCATCTGTGGTTTCTTGTGCAGGATCCAAACCTGGGGTGGTGGTTGGTGTTTCAAGGCCTACAAAAAGCAAATGTGGGCAAAGAACAGAGAGATGCCTTGGGAGTGTCCAAGTGTTCCCAGAGCTTAACAGAGAGCAAGCGTCACACTCAGCACTCAGCACTGGTCTCCTTGCACATGAGCTGTCTTTTTCCAGATAAAGTCGTGCTTACCTGCCTGTGCCTCAGCGTCTTCTCTTGAACCCTGCTGTTGGTGCCTTTGCTCCCTGAGGGTGAAGTGGGAGAGTAAAGTTAGTGGCAACTCACTTCCCTTTCCTTTCCAACTGGAGGAAAGCCCTGGGCCCCAGGATGACTGGGGTTCCACACTCACATGGGAACAAGCAGTTGACCAAGGCCTGTAGGAAGGAAAAGAAAAGGAGCATTACTTGGCCTTCCCAGCAGAGATCCCAGGAGAACGGCCCTCTCCTTCCTAGTGGGCTCTGTACTAGGGCCTCAGGAACCCAGAAGGGGATGACCGCAGGTGCCTGGGTTGGGGGTTAGGGGCTGGAGCCCTGAATGGCAACATCTAGCACTGGAAAGAGGGTGAGAATTAAGGAAGAGCCTCGATTCTTCACCCCCAGGAGTGCTGCATCTCTCCTTTGGATAGGTCAGGGCCAGGCCCCTGTGTGGTCAAGCGGCCCCTCCCTTCCGATTCCCACTCACGAGGGAAAGTCTCCGGGTGCCGGGCAGCATACTGGAACACCAGTAGAGAGGCCACCGTGGCCACCACCATTCCGGTGCCTGCTGCACCCAACACCGCTGGATAGGCGCTGAAGGGGGGGTCCGCTAGGAGGGGAAAGCACAGGTTACACGGTTTAGAGCCACTGCAGAACCTGGACCACAGTGGCTTGTAGAGAATCTCTAGGGTTCTGGAGAAGCGGTGCCCTGCTCATCCAGTTTCCCCTGCAGCTGACATGGGAGACCCAGAGAACCCAAAGATCAGGTTTCTCTCAAAGAAGGTGGCGCTCTGTCTGCCTAGTGCTCTGGGTTTGACTCCCCAGCCAAACCCCATTTCTGGTACAGAAGACAAGAGGCTGGTTATCTTGGTGGCCTGGGGCTGAAGGGAAGTATGCCATAAAAGAAGGAATTCCCAGGGTGGAGACAGGGTGGCAGGAAGCTGAGAGCCTGCCTGTAGCCCTGGAGGGGAGACTGAGGCACAGAGTGGGCTCCTGTTCTTAGTCACCAGCACCTTCTCCTTCCTCTCTATTCTGATCACATGAATTAGGGTTCCTAACCCTGAGCCTGGAGCCTCCCAAGCCCTGCAGGGAGGGATGGGAAAGAGCAATGGAGATTATCTGAGAGGAGAGTGGAGAAGAGGACAGGCTGGGGATGGGAGAATTCAGTAGGAAGGGAGCAGAGGAACAGAGGAGGGGATGCCCTGTGAAGAGGAGGATGAACCAGGGGCCAGTACTTTGGAGAAAAGGTGAGTCCCTCCCTGGTGCTAGCCTGGCACCTGGTATCTTCACCTCAGAGGGATGTCCTGCAGTGTGGTGATTCAGAGCCAGGATGCGGAAGGCATAAAGGACCCCAGGGTCCAAGCCTCCCAGCCGCCGGCCTCGGCTCTCCGGCTCGATGTCACTAGCTGCTATCTCCCACGCCCCAGCTCCTGGGCCCAGGGCACTGGCCTTCCGCTGCACCAGGAAGCCCGTCAGGTTCCCAGGGCCTGCGATGGCCCATTGAAGCTGCACCTCCCTCCGGTGCCTCCCATAGGTCAGGCGTCTGATGGTGACGTTGGGAGGAGCTGGATATCCTGGGTGAGGATGGGGACACAAAGGGGCACTGTATACCTACAAGCACATGTGCTTGTCCCCTCAGATTTGCTCCTGTTGAAAGGCAGCCTGGCAGTGTGGAAAAGGCACTGGATTTGCTCTGTAGACCTGAGAAGCTGTCTTGTCCCATCAGTTTTCTCTATAAAATGAAAGGGAGGCGATCCTGCCTGCATGGAGTACTATTGGCCTGTTTTGAGGCGTGTACCAGATTCATGCACACGTTGCCCATCTAGCGCTTGAGTCCTGCCTATGCCCAATCTCAAGCTTCCACATTTTGGAGCAGGGAATTCCTGTGCTTTTCCACTTAAAGCACTCTGTGGCTGCTGGTCTCCCAGCCCCCACCTCACCACACACGCACTTCTCCCCTCACTCACTCAGGACCTCCAGCAGCACGCCTCGACTGCTGTTGCCCACGGCGTTGCGGGCCACGCATTGGTAGGTGCCCCTGTGGCGTGTCGGGTCAGCATCGCGGATGCCCAGACGCAGCTGGGTATGCTCAGGGTGCAGCACGAATCCCAAAGTGCCCGGCTCCACCTGCTGTTGCTGAGGTCCCAGCCAGAGGAGCTGGGCAGGTGGTGTGCCCTGCCGGAGAGAGCACTCCAGCCAGGCCTCTCCCCCCTCAAACACTGACACCCGGGGCTCAGCCACGTCCAACTGCGGGGCTTCTGCGGGAACAGAGAGGATGAGGCTGGAGCAGGTCCCCTGTCTCTGGCTAGTGGGAGGGCTTGGGGGCAAGGTGCTGGCCAGCAGTGGAAGGGATGGAGAGGAGATGGAGCGGGAGTGCTGCGGAGCTGACAGTGAAGCTTGTCTGGGGCCAGTCTGCCTTCTCTTCAGGTTCCCATTCAATGCCAAGTTCCTGTCACAGTGTGCCCCAGGGTTTGCTGATATATGATAAAATCAGCAGTGTTTCTCCCTGCTCCTTCCCTGCCCCACCCTAGACTCAGCTCCTGCAGGCAGGGGCCCTGCCTTACTCTTCTCTGCATGAACCCCCCCTTGCAGCACCTGGCCTCCCTCCCCCTGGTAGCCTCCCACCTCCTGGCTGGCTCCAGGCCTAGTGCTGGGCCCATAGCAGGTGCTCAGATTTTATGGACTGACTTATTAAAGACCCAGGCTCTCAGGTGTCAATGAATCTCATTCAGTGGAATTTCCGGTCCTGAGACTGAGTAATAGGGAAGGAAATATGTGGGGTTGAGGCCTCCTTAGAGCCCTGAGAACATGCTAGTCACCAAGCCTTTGGAGACCACGAGGTAAACTGTTCTGTGAGAACCGTCGTACGTGACATCTTCTCTGTTTGCTTTTCTCACTTTTTCTTTTTTTTTACTTTGATATTTAATTCTTTTTTCCTGGTTGCAGTAAATAGATTGGAAGAGCCAGATGAAGACAAGGAGGAACCAGACAAAAAAAAATGTAATAAGAGAGGTAGAGAGAGACCTGACTTCTGAAACATTAATGCAAATCAAGAATAGAATCGGGCACCTCTCTTATGCAAATCCATGTAAGTGAACAATCCAATATTGCAGTGACCAGCCACTTCAATATGAGCACCTAAGACATGGCCAATCCACATTGAGATGTGCAATAATTATAAATATACCAGATTTTAAAGACAAGATAAAAAAGAATGTAAAATATCTCATTAATAATTTTTTTATTATTACATGTTGAAATAACATTGGATATATTGAGTTAACTAAAGTGTTCCACTTGTTTCTTTTTTTTTTAAATGTGGCTGCTAGAATAATTTAAATCATATCTATGGCTCACATTGTATTTTTATTGCACAACTCTGACCTAGCCTGGCCCCCTCATTTAATGGATCAAAGAAAACTTGAGTCCCTGGGAGCTCAGCTCCTACCTCCTAGCTTCCCTGTCCGCACTGACTCCCTTTCCATGCCAGCACAGCCAGCCCACAAGATCACTTTATCCTGGTTCCAAAGGGTTGCTCCTCCTGTCCCAGCCCCAGAACAAACTTGCTAGCCCCTACTCACCCAGCCGGAGGTGGCAGTGGGGATCAGGGGTCCTGAGCAGGTGAGTGCCCCGGCAGGTGAACTCTCGGCCAGCCAGATCTTCCTGGGCCTGCAGGAGGTGAACAGCCATCGAGGAGCTGCTGCCGCCCAGGGGTTGCTGCTGTTCATCAAGCCAGCCCAGCGTGGCGGGGGGCTCGCCGCCAGGCCACTCACAACTCAGCATGATGAACTGGTCCCCCATAGTGGCTGTGCTCCAGCAGGCTGGCCTCCCGAGAGGCTCCCCTGGAAGGAATGATGGCTCCACATGGCGCCGTGGAAGGAGGAAGGCTTGGCAGTTCCACCCTATCCCCCCTCCTTCATTTCTTCCTTCACTCCCTCCTTCCTCCATTACTTTGTCACTCATTCATACACTCATCGTTTATTGATGGCTGATCATGTGTCAGGGAAATGGTGGGAACAGACACTAAACAATTATGATTTGATGTGTGCTAGAATATAGACAGGCAAACTCTCTGGGGCTTCTGGAAAGAGGACAGGATGACATCTGAACTCTGTCTTGGCTGATGGCTGGGAGTTTCTCTCTGGGCACTTGGTGGAGAGAATGCTGAAGGCAAATTTCAAGCCCAGCGAGTGACAGAGCAGCAGAAGTGCATGTAAGGCAGTGAGAGCCTGCTGACCCTGCGGGCAAGGACAGTGGGGAGATGTCAGGGCTTCAAGCCTGAAGTGAGGAGGACAGAGCACAGTGTGGATGGGAAAGCTGAGAGACGGGCACTGAGCGCTGAGCGCCACCCACTTCCTTGTTACATGGCATATTTTGGAGCCTGTGGGTCTGGAGCACCACTCACATCCCAGGCCCCCTGGCTCACCCCTGACCTCTACCCACACTCTGCCTGGAATGTCAGAGCCCTGGGATTTCCTGTGTCCACTCACAGAGCGTGACTGTGCAGAGGGCAGATGGTGCCAGGGCTGGGTGCTGGCCAGTACAGGTGAAGACAGTGCCACTGGGGAGCTGGGTGGCTGCATGACTCCAGGTGACATTGCTGGGGGCAGTAGGGCCAGGTCCCTGGGGCCCTTCCCACTGCAGCTGGGCAGGTGGAAGCCCCCCAGGCCAGGCACAGAGCAGAGTCACAGCCTCAGGGCTGGGAAGCACTGCACAGGAGGGCTGCCCCTCAGGGGGATCTGGATGGGGAAGCGGGTGAGGCAGGGCTGGAGCAGACTCCACTGCCAGTGCCCTGCAGCCCCCAGGCCCAGGCAGGGGAGTCTGGAGGCCTGGGGTGTCAGTGGGTAGGGGAGGAGGGAGAAGTGGGTGAGGGGGAAAGACTGAGTCTCTCTGAGGGGCTGGTGAGGAACAGGCTGAGCTCTCAGGTCAGGGGCAGGAGGTTATGGGGTGTACAGGAGTTTGGGAGTCCCCAGGGAATCCCAGAGGCCCCTTGGAAGGCCCTGTTTCCCATTCTCTTCTTTGCCCCTAGGAACCCAGGAGCCACACCTTGCCTCACTGCCATCGCCCTTCTCTGTGCCTCAGTTCAGTCTGCAGGGCCGTGGGAACAATCACTTTGTGGTGGGGGCTGTGCAGTGTCAGTAGCTCCCCCCTCCCTTCCCCTTCCCACAGTTTTCTTATGCCCTCCAACGCCACTTGGTTTGGAGACAGCCCTCCAGCAAGAGCAACTTAGACACACCTCTCCACAGGGCGGCTGGATCTGCCAGAGAACAGGCCACAGAGACTCCAGCGTGGTTCGCCCCCAGGCCAGGGCTGGGTGTCACCCGACCCCCATACTCACAGTAGATGGTGAGCTGAACAGTAGTCTGGGTGCGGGTGTCCAGGTAGCTGTTGCGGGCCAGGCAGGTGTACAGGCCCGTGTGGGCACGGCCAGCTCTGGTGATGACGTAGGTAGGCCCCGTGTGGACTTGTGTGTGGTCACGGAGCCACACATAGTGACTAGGAGGGTTGGAGGCAGCCAGGCAGCTCAAGGTCACCTCTTCCTTCTCACTGGCCCAGAAACCCTCCTCCGTGAGTCCCAGTGGCTCCACAGAGATCACAGGCTTGTCAGGACCATCTGGAGAGCAAGGAAGGCCCATTACATCTCCCCAACTTCATTCATTAATTCATGCACATGTTCATCTCTGAATGTATGCATGCATCAAGCTTATAGGCATGTAGTATGCACCATCCCGTGTCCACCCTGAGGCTAGGCCCTCCAGAAGCTCAGAGTCCAGGGGCCGTGGGCACAGTCCAGGGTACGCAGGGCTTGTGTGTGGAAGTGAGCGCCCTGGGCTGTGGGGGCTTCCCCGAGGGACTGCTGAGTTGGGTCAAGGTGGGGCAGAAAAGAAGTGGGGGGCAACGCTCCCCATATGCCTGAGACGGAGGGCTCTTGGGAGCAGATGTGCGGCCACTGTAGACTGCAGAAGTAAGACACCAAAGTGGGACGACGCCCTGAGCGTGATCCCTCCTTTCACTTCCTTAGACTCCAGCTTCCCCTCTCTCCTGCATTCCAAGCTTAGGGTCACCATCTTTGAAGCTCTCCCTGACTCCCAAAGAGTTCTGATTCTCTGCCAAATTCCAGTCTGCTCCTGCCTCTCTCCCAAGAACTCTCCTGCTCTCCTGCCTCCTCAGCAGTCCTCAGTTCACAGTTTCCACAAACCACCACCGTGGAGACAGACAAATAGGACACCATTTATCCTTGCTCCTTAAAATGTCTAAGGCCAGCACTGTCCAATCGGCAGATGCCAGCCATAGACTTTTTTAATGTTTTCTAGTAGCCAAATCTTAAAAAGTAAAAATGACCAAACCCAATCAAGCAAAAAACAAAAACCATCAATTGGTTTTTACTTTAAGGATATGTTATATTTAACCAAATAGATCCAGAATGTTATTTTAATATATAATCAATGTAAAAGTTACTGATGAGATATTTTACATTCTTTCTTTCAAACTAAATCCTCAAAATTAAATGTGCCTTCCATGCCTACAGCACAGCTCAGTTTGGACTGGCTCCATCTCAAGTGACTGAAGATACACATGTGTGGCTGCCATATGGGACAGCAAGCTCCAGGCCACCCTGGTTTTCATCTTCCACCCGGGGCTCCTGATTTCTGACTTCAGGCCTGCTGCCCTCTCCTCCCACTGTGGCCCTATACCCTGTCTCCTCGGGCTCCGTTGGTTTCTGAGAGCCCTCCAGGCTCAACCTAAAGGCAGACTTTCCAGGCCACCTGTGAAATCCTGGGTGAAATTGTAAGCATGAATGTATGCATGTTTTCCTGGAAAGGGGTGTCCGTGACCTTAAAAAGGCTAACATCCTGGAACTAGAGTTGCACTGGGCAACAGGGGCATAGCACCCCGTTACTCTTCCCTGCTGGAGGAGTCTTTTAGAGGGTGGGGCACTCCCGCAGTGGAGGGATTTGGGGAGTTCTGAGGTGTGGCAGGCCGAATATGGATGGGGAGATGGGTGTCAGCCCTGACAGCAACCCCCCACCAACAGTCTGACTTACAGATGACGTCCAGGAAGGCCCCTTCACTGCTTAGCCTGTTCACAGAGTTGCGAGCGCTGCACATGTACCAGCCCAGGTGTGTCCGGTTGACAGGGTCCAGATGGAATAGTGGCTCTGTGACCCCGACCAGGGCCTCTCCAAGGCCTCGGGATGCCCGATGCTGCCAGGCAAAGGTCACAGGCTCTGTGCCCTCTCGCACTGCACACGTGGCCACCACAGAGGCTCCCTCCACCGGAGACGGGTTACTCAGTCGCACTTGAGGCTTGGACACCGGCACTGGCCAGAGGAGGGAGAGCCCAATGTGTTATTACAGACCCAGGCCGTGCCCAGCTGTGTCCAGCGCCCCTACCGCTGCTGGCTGGGGACTCACCTGCCCAAACACCCTGAGCATCCCTTCCTTATCACGCCAGCATTTTTCAGTCTCTGGAGTGGGACACCCTTTAAAACCCAGGCCCCCCCATAAACACACACACACACACACACACACACACACACACACACACACACGTACACACAGAGAATGGACAGCACACATGCAGAGAAATCCAAAGCAGCCTGAGGACCAACTGCAGCCCAGGCCAGGCCCTCACCAAGCACAGCCAGCATAAGGTGGGAGTAGGTGGTGTGGAGCTGGCCACTGGCCACGTGCAGAACCTGGCACAGGAAGTGGCCACGGGCGCCCTCGCGAAGCTCCCCCAGCACCAGGCTGCTGTTCCTGAGACTCACGACTCCCAGAGCTGAGGCTACGGCCTCCACCTTGGACATGGCTCCATCCGTGATGGCCACTGGCCGGGGAACCAGGGAGCCCAGGGGGGTGAAGCTCCAGAGGACCAGCAGTGGGGCAGGCCCGGAGCTGCAGGCCAGCTCCACAGAGCCGCCTCGCACTCCCTGGACGGACACCACCTCCTCTGCTGGGGAGTCGGGGGTCGGGTGGGGCTGGCCTGGGGAGAGAAGGGGAACAGCAGGACTTCTGGGCTCTCCTGCACTCCCTGCCGTGCCTAGAGCCTCTCTTTTTGGTTCTGCAGTCCCAAGAAAACCAAGCAAGCTTCAGGAAGTTCACATAAAAGCATTTCTGGAATTGGTGGGCAAGAGACAGTTTCTTTGGGAGCCTCTGGGGTTTCCTGTTTGGATGCACTGAAGGAGGGGTTGACTGAAGTCAGAGAATGGACTGGAGCAGAGATCCCCACCCCTCATGAGTCGCCAGATCATTCAAAAGGCAGATTTGTGGGCATCACCCTAGACTATCGAGTCAGACACCCCCAGTAATGGTGAGGGTGTCAGAGCCCAGGAATCTGTAATTGTAACAAGTGCCCCAAGATCAGTCTGATGATCAGTCCTATGATGATGGTGACCCTGGAGACCCTGGAGATGGCGACCTGCATGGCCACTGGCAGTCAGGGTCTGGAGTTCCCTGTGTAAGGATTCCAGGAGGGTCCCACTGCTCAAGTCCCTGCTCCAGTCCCATTGCAGCAAGGGAAGAGGACATTGCCTGCATCAGCCCATCCAGCATTCATTCAACTAAGTACAGAGTACCAGGATCACAAGGACAAATGAGCCCTCCATCCTGGCTCTCATGGAGCTCCCAGTCTACCAGGGACCGGCCATTAAGTAGTTCTTGTGGAGTAAGTCACTCAACAGGTGTTCTTGGCTTAGGGCCCAGCCCTCAGTCCCAGCCTAAGCCCAAGTACCATGTTCCCCAATGTCCCCTTGCATGTGGCCAGGGTGGGGCTCATGCCGTAAAGTGCTGAGGGCCTCAGCAAATTTGCATGAAAATAGGTGTCTAGAAGGACAGCCAAGCCATTGGAGTAATTCACACTAGCTTCCATTTCCTAAATGCTTCCTTCCTTCCAGGCCCTGGGCTCTTCACATGCACTGCCTCTCTGCTAAAAATATGTAACCCAGAAACCAATTTTTTCCAACCCCACAGACACTGCTTTGGCCCAAGATGCCAGCATCTCCCACCTGGATTACTGCAATGATCTGATTGCCCTCATCCCCCTCAAAACCAGGGAGCTTTCTGAAACCTAGGTATGAGCATGCCACTCGTAAGCTTACCACCTGACAGTGGCTCTCAAGGTGGCTTCAGCTTCTCAAGGTAAAGCAGAGTGCTGTCACCTACGTGGCACATAGTGGTTGCTCAGCGCACACTAGTTAAATGCCTAGCCAATGAATGACTGAAGGACTTCATGGAATGGCTATGCAAGCGCAGAAGGAGAATCCCTAAGGAAGAGGCAGGAATAACGCGATGGGAGTGAGGAACGAACCCCCTGGGGAGGTCTGAGTATCACTTACCTGAGGCCCTCAGATGTAGAAGGCAGAGGCGTATCAGCAGCAGGAGGCTGACCGGTTGGTGCTGGGCCCTCTGACCCACCATGGCCCCATCTCCCTAGTGGCTGCCCACCTGAGGCTCCTGCCTGACTTGTGGGCCCCTTCTACTCAGAGCAGAGCCCAGCCTTGGGAGGATGGGGGTCTGGATCAGGTTGCCAACTTCAGCCCTGCCCATGCCTCCACCCCTGCTCTCCTGTTACCCTCAGTGCCTCGATGACTCGTGAATTATTTACCAGATGATTCACTCCATCCATAATGCAGAGCTGGGGAGGGCAGGATGTGGCTGGGGCAGACCCAGGGGAGAGGACCATGAGCTTCCTGTATTTCATTTGAAGGATATTGTAAAATGAGAGTCAGTGGACAGAGTTGAGAAAGTCCCCTAAACTCTTCTGGTCCAATCACTGGAGGCCCAACCGACGACTCCCAACCGCAGAGGCTGTGAGGTTCAAACACACCTTTCAGTGCAGCGGCAGGAGGAGCTGTGGAGTCAAACACACCCAGGTTGGTGATAAACTGAGAAGCGAGAAAGTTTCCCAGCCTCCCTGAGGTCTGGCTTCCTCACAGATAAGTGGGATAATAACACCTTCTTTGTTGTAAAGAGTATATTGTGAATATCAAATGACAAAACTTAAATTAGCATATGGGGGCTTTGGGGTGCTGAAATGTGCTATTTCTTGAATCAAGTGAGGGTTACAGTTCATCAAGCTGTACATTTATTTTTTATGTACTTTACAAATCTTTGATGTAATTGTTTGATATCATTTGTACACATATGTGTTTGATATTCATGCCTGTTCATGCATGCACTCATGAACACACAGGTGAACAGTGCCTGGCGTGCCATAGGTGCACCATCATGCTCCTAGTAGATTTGAAATATCAAGTCTGGACCTGGAGCTGGATGGGCCCCCAGCATTCCTGCTGTCCAGGGCTCTCTGAATTCTCCCTCTCTCTACCTCCTGGAGCATATCCTTTTGTCTAGCTGTCTCTGAATGACAGCGCGAGAGGGGGTCAGATTTTTCCATCCTCTGGTGGCAGGGTTAGAGGGAGGATGAGATTCCTGAACTCCAGTGAGAAGGGGGATCTGATGTCTGGTTTCAGGTTCTCCAAGGCTCAGCCAAGATAGGAGCTGTTGAATTCCAGGTGGCTCTTCCAGGGCCCAGAGATGTCACTGCGGCACTCTGGCTTCTCACTTGGCTGGGACAGTGGCTGTACGGACAGACCCTATCCCACTCTCAATCCATGGCCAAGGCCCTTCCATGCCTTCCTCAGCGTCCTGAGTCCCCATTCCCTCCTAACTCAGCTATGGAGCACAGTAGCAGGTGGTCAGTCCCTGAGAGGTTTGACTACTCCTGGTGGCCAGCCTATATGGGCCACTCATTTTGATTCCCCTACTCCCCAAACTGGGAATGTCCTCAGAACTCCGTTAGATTTTCCTATGGAAATAAAGTGTGGGGATCCAGCACCACTCTTCACCTCAGGGTGGCCGGGCCCTGTCTCTGGAGAGAACAGGAGAATTCCAGCCCTGTGAATCGGGGGATCTTTGAGGGATCCTCTGAAGGCAGCAAGAGCGTGTGCTGATGCAGAGTTAGTCTACGCTGCTACGGGGCTTCCGTTATCAGCCACTCAGCCTTTTCTCAGCTGGGGCATCAGGAACACGGAAGTCAGGGGGCAATGCTCCTCAGCCTGCTCTTTCTCCTTAGGAAGGGGACCCTAGATGGGAGAATCAGGGAGGGAAGGTATTAGTCAGGGGTCTCCAGAAAAAGAGAACCAAGAGGCTATATATATACAGAAAGGGAAGATCTGCCGTCCACAAGCTTGAGATCCAGGGAGAGCTGAGGTTGCACTTTGAGTCTGAAGGCAGGAAAAGACCACGGTTCCAGTTCAGGCAGTCAGGCAGGAGGAGTTCCACCTCACTCAGCCTTTTTGTTCTATTCAGGCCCTCACCTGATTGGATGAGGCCCACCCATATTGGGGAGGGCCATGTTCTTTACAGATTCTATCAATTCAAATGTTCATCTCACCCCAGAACACCCTCCTGAAATACCCAGAGTGATGTTTGATGAAATATTTGGGTACCCCATGACCCAGCCAAGTTGATACACAAAACGGACCATCACAGAGGTGAAGAATATCCCCCGTCCTGTGCCCTGGCTGTGCCAGAACAGGAACCCCATGGATGAGCACAGCCCCCGTCTGGAAGAGGAGAGCTGTGTCTGGAATGGGAAAACAGGCCCAGGGCTCCTGTCTCTGCTGCCTCGGGAGCTGAGGGGCTAGGAGAGACAAGGTGAGCTGGTTCCTTGCTTTGAGAGACAAGAAAGCTCAGTAGTGAGAACACACATTTATCTCTTTATTATTGTGTGACCTAGGCATCTTAAATAACTTCTCTGAGCTTCAATTTCTTCCTTTATTTAATGGTTTTCCTGAAAAGAACACATGAGACTATGCACATATAGCTCCTGCTTATTAAGCTTACTTATACCCTTAACCAAAGAACGTAAACAGTGAATTGAACAAGTGTTTCTTGAGCATCTAAGTTTAAGATACGGGATGGGGTCAGATTTTTCCATCCTTTGGTGGCAGCATTGGAGGCCTGGCAAGAGTTCCACTCTTTCTCTCCTCCCCTCTTCCCAAGGAGCTTCAGCCAAGCTGAGGTCACCTGGAGCTGTGTTCTGCTCTGTGTGAGCTCAGTGCTTGGGCCCTGGGGCAGGTGAAGCTGTGGACTCCCAGGTCCTGGTGCCTGCTGCTCATCGTCTCTCCTGCTCAGGGCCTGTGCTCTCCACCCTCACTGGGGGGGCTCCATCTCCAGCCTCCCTGGGTCCCCAGGGCTCACATCAGCCTGGAGGGAAGGAAAGGCAACTGTGTGGACTAAGGGCTAGCCTGGGGTCCCTGGAGTGGCCTCCCAGCTGGACTCAGAAATGAGGGGGTTACAAGGAGGGACTCAGGACCAAGGCTCCAGTAGTTTGAGGTGAAATTTTGTTCCAAAAGGGCTGATGTGACCTTCCTTTGCATGTAGGAAGCCCCTTTGCCACCTCCTAAAGAGAAGGCCCTGCAGCTCCTCCCAGGGGTAATGTAGGGCAGGGCTGCACGACCTTGGGTAAGGAACACACACTGTCTCAATCTTGTGGCCATCATCTGTGAAATGAGAATACTAAAGCTCCGTCTTCAAGTTATTGGACAAATGAGACACTACCACAAGTATTAAGCCTCATGCAAGCACCTAGCATGGCAGGTAGATACACTGAATCAACATAGCTCTCGCCCTCCTTCTCTTTAAGTTGAACAAAAATCTGCTTTCCTGACGCTTCTATCCTTGGGGAATTCTTTCATGGAAGTTTTGCAAAATTACTCAAATCCCACTTCCGAATGAAAGTCATTCACTGTTTGAAACTGTGTGTCCATCCCTTCTCTTCTCCACCTAAATAACTAATACTAGTTACCATTTGTTGTACACTTACACATACCAGGCATGGGTTAGGGTCCCCAACAACCCCATGAGAAAGGATTGCTATTCCTATCTTATGAATGGGCTCACATTCTCCCCGATTTTCTCCCTGTGACTTGATTTCCTGTGCCCCAGATTGCTCCCCATCTTTGGACATTCTCTGGTTTGTCCCCGTCCACTCTGGGTTTGTGGCTCCCTCAGTCTGGCCAGGGGCCTGTGGAACTGCTGAGTCCCTTCTTTTCTGACAAGACTGCCCAAAGTCTTGCTCAGTTATTTACTGAGTTTCACGGATCCCCTAGCTAACTTTATCCTGTATCAGGGCATGTTGGCTGCACTGCTCCCTTGGAGCCTCTCGTGGCTCCTGAGTATGGCTGGGCACATCTGGCTGTCCTGAGCGGAAGCGGTGGCTCCGAGTCTGCCGTGTCTTTGGACGAGGCAGTGGTGTGGCTGGAACAAGCGCCAGGTGCCTGCTGCTGCCTCCTCTCCAGGACCCTCCGCTGTGCACAGGCAGCAGCTACACCAGACCGTGGGCACTTGGTAAACTCAGGGACAGATGACGCTTGTCTTGTACCACATCCCTGTACCTCTGAGCCAACCTACAGGCCTCTCCTTTTGTGCTGTGGGTTTTAACCCAGCTCTCTGGCCCTGCGACCATTTTGAATCCTGATTCTGAAATCACAGGGCTTTGGAGCAGCAGCATGTGAAGGGACAGGGACGGCTGGGCTGGGGAGGGAAGCAGATGCTCCGGGAGCAAATGCCTTCTCCATGTGTGCTGTCGGGCCAGCCCCGCCCTCCGGGACCCCGGCAGTAGACCAGCCTAGGGCTGTTGAGGAAATGGGTTAGAGGCTCCGCCGGCAACGTGTCCCCGGCTGTGCTCGAGGCTGAGGAAGAGAGGGAAGGCAACAGGGACAGAGGACAGGCAGGGGTCACTGCCTAGTCACTTTGTAAACTGATCCTTAGAGACCAGAGAGGAAATGAAGGAGGCCCTGGATGGAGGGGTTGGGAACAGGAGGCGAACAGATCAGGAGAGGAAGGAAGAGGAGGCAGATGGAGGCGGAGGCAGTGACAGTGAAGGGGGAGCACCTGTTGGGGCTGTGGAAAAGGAGGCCTATTTTCTGGCAGCGACTTCACCTGGGAACTAACCCTCCTTCCATCTGCTTTCCATTCTCAGAGCCCTTTCTCAACCAGCCCTACCTGGGCACGTGGAGCAAAACACGCATGGCTTCTGTTTCCTGATTGGTTAAAAAAGTGATTGCAATGCCCACCCCGACACTGCTCAGGGTTGTAGTAAGAGCCGGATGGTGGATTAGCAGAAGGTGTAAGCCGCTGTGCAGAGCTGGAGATGTGAAGAAAGAGGAGAGCTGGAATCACATCAGGGTTCGGACCTTGGCTCTGTTGCCCACTAGCTGAGTGACGATGAACAAGTTGCTCACCCACTTCAAGTCCTAGTTTTTCCTCTGTGAAATGGGACTAATTGTTTATTAGACAAAATTAGAGGCCGGGCGCGTTGGCTCATGCTTGTAATCCCAGCACTTTGGGAGGCCGAGGCAGGCAGATCACTTGAGGTCAGGAGTGTGAGACCAGCCTGGCCAATATGGTGAAACCCTCACTCTATTAGAAATTAAAAAATTAGCTGGGCATGTTCC